ACTGGAAATAAACACGAAACCAAAACGACACAAAACTGAATGAATCAGCAGACCGACGGAAACGAGACAAACGGACGTAAGAATCGATGGAAATCCAGATTAAACCTCCTCAAAGACACACAAAGAGTCGACAGCTCGTCGCAGAGTGTCGGCAGAGACACGAGACGAACTGATCGCCAACTACATACACGTCTGGTTCCCATGACAACGCGATGCATCCAGTGTGCGATGCTGTACCTACACGGCTTCATCCAGTGATATTAGTAACACACATCTCAGCAGATAAACCCATTCCCTCAGAATCTGGATCGTTCATAAAGAACAGTCAGGAAACCATCTGGTTAAAGGGAGACGCTCCTTCACATCAGAAACTCTGAACATAACATGGACCAGGTTAGCTCCACAGCATCAGTTACCATGGAGACCAAGCCCTGCAGCATCAGTTACCATGGAGACCAAGCCCCACAGCAGCAGTTACCATGGAGATCTAGCTCCGCAGCATCAGTTACCATGGAGATCTAGCTCCACAGCATCAGTTACCATGGAGACCTAGTTCTGCACCATCAGTTACCATGGAGATCTAGCTCCGCAGCATCAGTTACCATGGAGATCTAGCTCCACAGCATCAGTTACCATGGAGACCAAGCCCCGCAGCATCAGTTACCGTGGAGATCTAGTCCCGCAGCATCAGTTTCCATGGAGATCTAGCTCCGCAGCATCAGTTACCATGGAGATCTAGCAGGTAAATAGAGAACCACCTTCATGACACTGAAAACTCTGACTATAAGCTCAACATATCTCAATAACCCACTGATCTGCTTCGTAGTTCAGAGCTCAGGTCACAGATGCACAAACAAACAGTTTGTTTATAAAATAACCAAACATAGAATCTAGAACCGACTGTTTAAATGATTTTTAAGGCCCAGATTTAACTGCAGCTGATGTGAAACATACAGAAAGTCTCATTGGTTGACGTCTTTTGGTATTTTATCGTCTTCTGTTGATCATTCTGTTCCTTTAATTCAGTTCATCTGCGTGTAAACGACAGACTGTTGCTTTAAAAAGCTTCATCCTTCAGCGAACAAACAGCTCAGAGACCAACCAAAGACCAGTTCTATCATCGATGTTCTGCAACGAGAAGCGCTTCACGTCCACCAGAACTCACAGAGGAAGCTGCTCAACATCCACCTGGTGCCGTACTTCTCTGACCAACCGTCCAAAACACAAACATCTACATACTGTTTGTGACATAAAGCACAAAAAAATCTGCAAATTCTCAAACCTGAGCAGCTAAACTCAGTCAGTGATCGTTAGTGTCCATCAAGATCTAAACAACGACGAACCAACAAGCCGCTGACGTGACATCTGATGAACACGATGTGAAGTCTGTTTCAGAGGCTGCAGACTGAACGAAGCCGCAGCAGCAAAGCTTCGGCCTCCAGGAGGTCAAAAGATGCTTTAAAGAATAAAAGACGATGAATGGATCGTTAGAGGAGCCTCGGATGGAAGCAAAGGTCGTTTTTTTATGTAGAAAAGACAATTAAAGAATCACAAAGTGACACAAAATGACGACAAATAAGAGCAGAAAGAGACACACAACAGCAATAAAACGAACACAAACAGGTGGAAAAGACACGAAGAAAGACGGAACGACAGAAAAGATGTTCAACGATCAACACACAGACACAGAACGACAACAAAGACACACAAAAACACAAGATGATGCAAAGTCTGGACAAAAACGACATCCAGAGAGAAGCAAGCCAATTAACAAGAGACGCAAAACGGACACGAATCACCCCAAAGACCCACAAAAAGAGATTAAAACTGATGACAACAGACACAAAATGAACACAAACACACACAAAACAACATTAAAACGTCTCAGAATCAGATGAAACTCCATGAAAACGAGACACAGACGATACAAAACGACCAAAAAACAACAACAAACGACAAACAAAAAGGCCTCAACAGATCCTT